ATGAAGGGATAACACTACTAAATCATGTTGCTAAGTTTCATCTATGATGTGATAAAACTACTGAATCATGTTGCTGAGTTATATATATATAAAGGGATAACACTATTAAGTCATAGAGCTAAGTCATATCTATAAAGGGATAACACTATTAAATCATGTTGCTAAGCCACATTTATAAAGGGACAATACTATTAAATCATGGAGCTAAGTCACATCTGTAAAGGGATAACACTAGTATTTCATGTTGCTATGTCACATTTATAAAGGGATAACACTATTAAACCATGGAGCTAAGTCACATCTGTAAAGAGATAACACTATTCAATCATGAAGATAAGTGACTATTATGGAGTAATAACATAACGGCAATTTAATTTTAATCTAACTCTTTACCTTTCCAAGTAAAGTTTTATTAAAATATATGTGCGAACTGATGAGTCAAAGGCGAAAAAAGTCGTGTGTAAATTTATAGACTATTTAGTTAAAATCTCGGTGAGAAACTAGAGAACGTGAAGTATAGTTCACTTAATTGTACATTTATTTATATACGTAAGCTACACATGCATAGTTGTCAGCGAAAGAGATTTATTGGTCTGTTATATACTAAACGATTTTAACATCAAGAACCAAGATCTTGTCTAGCAGTAAAATTAATTAAAATTGAATTCAGTGATGGTTGAAGGCCAAATAAGTAATGTCTCTTATTAGTATCCTAGTCAAAATATTGTATCAGATGAATAACATTGGGATTATGGCCGAAAATGTCGTTAACAACGAAAGTGCCCAAATGATTAATCAGCGCATTCTAAACTTTATAAATAAGAATGTAAGAACAGTATACTTAATAAGCTATATTCATTTCTGGATGAGTTTTTAATTCTGATTATTTTAGGTAGCTTGCTCTGTCAGAAGTTGATATTCAGTTGAATAGTTATCACCTTTTCTAATTAAAATGACTGAAGTTGTTGTTTACTGAACTGCTTACACGTCAGGATACATTCAAACCATGTTTCTTAGTTAGACCGCTGGACCTCAGGATTGCTAAGGAACCTGCAACATTCTCCGCCGGGAAGACAAGCAAGCTGGAATGCCAAGCGGTGGGCTCCCGACCTGCGGCTATTCTGACTTGGCGGCTGAACGGTGTGGAGTTAAAAACAGCGAAGACGTCAGTTTCGGTAGATGGAAACGTCACCACAAGTGTGTTGACTCTTAAACCCTCTGTTACAGATAATGGCAAAACTGTGACATGTACAGCCGAGAATCTTCTAATCACAGACAGCATATTGAAAGACGAAAGAATTCTGAATGTTTATTGTGAGTAACGTTTTTTTTTTTATAAGGGATTTTTCATTTTCAAGTCCTAAATTTTAAGGTAAATTCGTAAAACTTTAATTTGGAAACCTGGTGTTTTTTTCTTTTAAATATCATTTATTACGTCATTTTTTGTATATAGCTTCTTAAATGCCATATTTTCATACTTTTTATTTTATTTGGGAAAATGGAAAAAAATCCATTTAACTTAATATTCGTCAGCCTAATTGTTCGATTTAACGTTTTAGGGCTGCAAAAATAAATTCAATAAATTCCAAGTAGGAATAATAAATTCAATAAAGCAACTTTACATAAGAGTTTTATTTTATACAAAGAAAAAATTACTACATATATTTAAAAGAAGGTTTATATTTGTCATTTCTGATCTGATAAAGAAAACGGTTGAAAGAAAAATGAAAATAAAATAAGGAATTTTGAAAGCAATATAATCTGTAAAAAAATTATAGTTTGCTGAACGGTATTTTTGGAATTCGGAAACAATTACAACCAAAATATCAAATTACGACGTTATCTTTACAAAAAAAAAAAAACAAACAACAAAGAAACAATATATGTGTATTTTTAACCCAAAATTGTTAAAGAATTTACATAACAGATGACCAACATAGTTCTTGTAGCCCTCTGTCAATTGTTTTATGTTATATATCGTTTCAATTTTGGCCCGGTGTGGCCAAGTGCTTAGCGAGCCTGGACTGTGAATCCGATGGTTCATGCTTCGCGGTCCGTTACTACAAAAATATGTTCCGTATTTTGAGGTCGTGAATGTGTTATAAGAGACTAGAGTGGGCCTTCAGTTGTCAGTGGATGCTGTAAATTAGTTGCTCTTTTGTGTGCTCTGTCACTTACGTGTGTTTCCGAGAAAACTATAAAACATCAGTACCATGCTCGTATTGGAAGTGAAGGAATTAAATGATATCAGAGTTATGAGTAAAATTCGTGAGACTATCAATTTAAATGAATTTTTTTTTTTACTCCAACTAAATCAGGGTTAAAATAAATTTTCCAAGATTATAGGTGAAACTTAAAACAACAAATAAACTGAGATTATAGTCCCTCGGCCCGGATAGCGGTAAATGTACGAACTTACAACGCAAGATTCCGGGGTTCGATACCACGCGATGGACACAGCAGGTAGTCGAATAAGATATTTAAAGACAATCAATCTTCTAAAATTAGAAATTTGAATCATGTACATCTTTATTACGATCTAGGAGTTAACTAATGAGAAGTAATAACGATGTACGTGATTCACATCTGAACATTTTGATAAATAATCAACTGTTAAGACGTAATCACGCACACACACGTACGAATCAACCTGTGTAATTATGATCCATTTACAGATATATTCGTGCACTACCCACCTCCAACTCTTGGGCTATTTTAATCGTATAGTGGGATTTCACTGCCACTCTTATAACGTGCTCAAGTCCCCAAATTGGGGAGCTCGGTAACGGGTCGCGAACCGTAGAACCGACCCTATGTGTACTTGGAAAGCCTAGAAAATCAGTTAAAAGTTAGTCTCATGAATTAAATAAAATAAGCTTAAGCTATTGAAAGTGCAAAAATAATTCCCAGTTTTAGGTTGCTTACAATTAGACCTAAAATAATTCCCAGTTTTAGGTTGCTTACAATTAGACCTAAAATAATTCCCAGTTTTAGGTTGCTTACAATTAGACCTAAAATTAATTCCCAATTTTAGGTTGCTTACAATTAGACCTAAAATAATTCCCAGTTTTAGGTTGCTTACAATCAGACCTAAAATAATTCCCAGTTTTAGGTTGCTTACAATTAGACCTAAAATAATTCCCAGTTTTAGGTTGCTTACAATTAGACCTAAAATAATTCCCAGTTGTAGGTTGCTTACAATTAGACCTAAAATAATTCCCAGTTTTAGGTTTTAACAAAAGTTTTTAAGTGCCAAGAGGTAATTTATTAGACAATATTAGAAAAATCGACATTCAACTTCAAAAATAAATAATAATAATTTAATAACCTTATTAGGCCTAACATGTTCGTCTGGGTACAATGCAATACAAAAACTGTGAAATAGTGAACGTTCTTAGAACTTGTATCAACTAAACTGTGTTAAGTCATAAGTTAAGTAGACCTGCATTTTCAAAATGATGATGTTTTTAACGGTAAACTTCGGTGAGATATACAAGTAAAAGTCGGGCAACATTGACTATACTACATACTGAGAATGCAGCTTATTATTAGATTAACCAGGCCAATAACAGAATACGTTATTTGATGGAACTTTAGATGTGGGATTAGATTTGTTGTAGTTAATACTGTTACACCCATCTTTAACTGCTGTTATTCCGGCTCTCTTAAGCAAAGAAGAAGAAGATTAAAGTGGGCACAGGGGTAGGAACAAAGGGGCAAGCAGGGGCATAGCCACCAGTAACTGATATATATATATATATATACCACAGTGGCTCAGCGGTAAGTCTGAAGACATGACGCTAAAAACAAGGCTTCAATACCCGTAGTGGGCACAACACAGTTAGTCCCACTGTATAGTTTTATGTTTAATAACAAACAAACAGACAAATATGTATATTTGTGTTTAATGTCCTCTGCCTCCAATAGTGGTCAAGTGTAAATTCATGTGGGTGCAAGTATAAAACTTTAAGTTCATGTACACGCTCCTGAGTGGGTGCAAGTATAAAACTTCAAGTTATGTACAAGCCCCTGAGTGGGTGCAAGTATAAAACTTTAAGTTAATGTACACGCTCCTGAGTGGGTGCAAGTATAAAACTTAAAGTTATGTACACGCCCCTGAGTGGGTGCAAGTATAAAACTTTAAGTTCATGTACACGCCCCTGAGTGGGTGCAAGTATAAAACTTAAATTCATGTACACGTCCCTGAGTGGGTGCAAGTATAAAACTTAAATTCATGTACACGCCCCTGAGTGGGTGCAAGTATAAAACTTTAACTTCATGTACACGTCCCTGAGTGGGTGCAAGTATAAAGAAATGTATTAACAGGGAAGAAAAGGTGATGTTTTAGAAGATAAAGAAACAAACAATACAACAATTTTTTTTGTGCCAAAAATATATTTTAGTCGCATTTTGCCCCTGCTCATATTTTAGTTGCATTTTGCCCCTGCTCGATACATTGTGGTGAAATTATTGAACTGTATCATGAAACTTATCGTTTTAAGGTACGCCAGTAAGCTTGAGGGTTCGATACCAACCTCAGAAAACAGCACAGATAACCCATTGTGGAGTTTTGCGCTAAAACAAATGAACGATATTTGACTCAGTTAGTAAGAAAACAGTGCTGTTTTTCCTCTGTTGTTGAAAATCCACAAGCAAACAGTGAAATGTGATTCAGTGGAAGTAGATTAAACGAATTTCGGTCTAACATACGGTCTTATAACAGTGTATCTGTCCTCCTCTGTCATCTCTCTCGGATTCAGCTCATCCAATGAAATCTGATAATAAAGACCGTTTTTAATTATTTACAGCATCCGTTATGAAGCAGCAAACATTCAAGTTTGTAAGTTCCATTTTGCAAGACTTAATAGTAAAACAAAATCGGGACATTTGTTGATTTACTGAGAAATCACACTTTAGAGGCTGCTCTTCAAAAGATTAAAGTCCACATTTTTAGCCGCAGCACAGCCGCTCATTGAATGGCTCTGAGTTTTTAGCAGCGGCAAAAAAAAGGCTAATTTATTTTAATCCTGCCTAAAAGAATTTCAAAGTGCCAAAGCTACTGAGGATTCTCTCGTGTGTGTGTGTGTGTTGTTTGTTTTTTTTCAAGTACAAACTTTTAGCTCATAGCTCTGTCATCTCTTGATAGATTTGAGATTTAATTAAAGTTTTGTACTGAGGAGGTTAAACCCTTTCTATTGATGTATTTGACCACGCACAATGTCTCATAGATTAATTTACTCTAATCGTGCCTAAAATAATTTCAACTTGAGGCTAGGCTGGTATAGATCCTGATGAGTAATAAAATCGAATCGGGTATACGCGCGTCCTACACTTGAAATTGATAGCGCACAAAAATATAGATAATAAAAAGGAAAAAAAAAAGGGTCTCATAGATTAATTTACTCTAATCCTGCCAAAAATAATTTCAATTGCCGCGGCTATTGAGGATTCCGTCTTGTTTTAGTTTGCCTTAAATTAACGTCTCTTTCAGGGATGGCCCGGCATGGCCAGGTGGTTAGGGCGCTCGACTCGCAATCTGAGGGTCGCGGGTTCGAATCCTCGTCGCACCAAACATGCTCGCCCTTTCAGCCGTGGGGGCGTTATAATGTGACGGTCAATCCCACTATTCGTTAGTAAAAGAGTAGCCCAAGAGTTGGCGGTGGGTGGTGATGACTAGCTGCCTTCCCTCTAGTCTTACACTGCTAAATTAGGGACGGCTAGCGCAGATAGCCCTCGTGTAGCTTTGCGCGAAATTCAAAACAAACAAACAAACAAACTTTCAGGGATAATTATAATGATAATTCCAACATGTATTTAAACGTTATAAAATAAAAACAGAAGATAAAATAAAAGATCAGAAAACGTGTTGAGACATGTCCAGAAAAAAGAATGATCGTTGAAAATGACATTTTGTGACAAACTAGAACTAAATAAAATACCAAATGAAGTATTCTGTCAAATAATAAATAAAACTACCTGTGCCTAACATACAAAGTCTGGAACACAAACTATAAAACGTATATCAACCAACATGAAGCACATTTCTACTAAAATATACTATAAAACATATATAAATCAGGTTAAAACTGCATATTTCGGCTCAAGCATACGACCATACATCATAAAAGTCGTGTTAAGACAGCACAGTTAAGCTCACACCAATATAAAACCGATAGCAATCGATTAAGTTAGCACAGTTAGGCTTACACCAATATAAAACATATATCAATCGTGTTAAAACAGCAAAATTAGGTTTACACCAACTCCTCGAATCAATAAGTAACACGCAAAGCCTGTTCGTAGTTACTTTACTGCTGTGAAGTGGAAAAATATTTCAGTGGAAACAAATCAAGTTGGTGTTACAAAGGATTGTATACATGTTTTCTTCACTTATATAGAGCAACATTTGGGTTTCAACTGATTGTCTGGAATTCCAATAACAAGTCTTCTACTTTAATAATTCTGTCCTTACATTTACAGGTGTCTGACTGATAATATAGTATGAATATTCGTGATTTTCAGACGCTCCACACATTAGCATCAACAGTTCCTGGGACGTGAACAACCCGATAGTGAAGAAAGGACACGACGTGTTTTTTGACTGTAAAATTCGAGCTAACCCTTGGATCACCGATTTTCACTGGCTGTTCGAAGAAGAGGAACTTCATACTAACAAGACCGCTGGTATAATTATAAGTAATTACACATTAGTCCTACAAAAGGTTGACCGCTCAAAGCGAGGTCGTTATGTTTGTAAGGCCAAGAACATTGAGGGGGTTGGAGAAAGTCCCCCTATTCATCTCCGTGTAGAGTGTAAGTATTAAATAAAGACATTTTTTACAGTTTAATAGTTTAAGTTAAATTACACGATCTTAATTCGTTTATTCTCCATTGAAACCACTAATATCAAGGACTTAGATGTAGGATAATTAAACGAAATTGGTCACTTAGAAGTCGTCACCGTGATCATCAATGACGTTTGTAATACTAGAGAGGCGTGGCATGGCCTGATGGTTGTGGTGCTCGACTCGCAATCTAAGGGTCGCGGGTTCGAATCCCCGTCACACCGAACATACTTGCCCTTTCAGCCGTTATAATGTTACGGTCAACCCCACTATTCGTTGGTAAAAAGCAACCCAAGAGTTGGCGGTAGGTGGTGTCTACTAGCTGCCTTCTCTCTAGCCTATCACTTCAAAATTAGAAACGGCTGGCGCAGTTAGCCCTATTGTAGCTTTGCGCGAAACTACAAAAACAAAACAAATAATACAAGAGAGGGTCGTAACATAAAATGAAATAAATATAAAATAAAACAGCTTGAAAGGGGATAAACGTTTTGTTTTAAAAAGTACAATATTTTCCGCACGTAACACATGAAGATGGTTACATGTGCGGTCGAAACGTTGTTAATAAATAAAGTTTTACCCCACATCAAGCTTTTTTGTTTTGATATTTAATCGATGACATTTAGATATTCAAATGTTTCTTACAATAAATTAAAGCATAGAGACTTTGAAAGTTTACCACTCTACAGAAGATAATTATTGTATGTGAAATGATAAAAAAAAACATGGTGTAACAGAAGATTCTGTATCATTGGATTTCTTTATTTTAATTAAATAAATAGGTTTATTAATTGACACAACCCTTTCCGCCGAGTGATTAATCGGTAAGCTTCAGGGATTATAACCACAAATTAGAGGCTCGATCCCTTCGGTAGGCATAGCACAGTTAGTCTATTGTGTGCTTAAACGATTAAAGGAACTTTTTAACACTGACTAAACAGCCCAGATGGTCAACGTATTTTTTGTAGTCGAAAAGTAACATAAATAAATTATATCCCATTCTTTCATAAGTTTCATTAACAGTATTGTGGGATATATATATATATATTCAGTTACTATTATATATATTTTTATTATGAGAATTGTTTTATAGTTAATTTAACATATAGATTTAGGACTAACCTAAATTTTCCAAGCTGGTTGAATGTTGTGAAATATTATTGGGTTTACGGCCGAAAATGTCGAGAGTACCCAATTGAGAAACCAGTACATTCTCAGCATTATTACACCTGGTTAAGTCTGTATACAACATGGGTGACATTACTTCCCGAATTCTTATTTTTAGGTAGCTTGTTTTGACCAAATGTTATTCGTAACTTATCTCCGTTCTAAGAAACTACATTATTAGCTTAGTAAATTTTATAGGTAAAAGTAAAACGTCCTAGGATATTCACATAGTTTCAATTGCGTGAATAAATAGTCCACCGAGAATTCAGGGAGAGACATCTTCCCGCTAATGTTTAGGTATTTCCACTAATGGCATAGTGTATGAGGTTCAGATATCCTCACTAATAGCTTAGTGAATGATTTTTGGATATCTCCACTAATGGCTTAGTGTATGAGTTTCGGATATGCAATACAGAGAATTATCACAATTTATCTTTAGAAGGACACTTAAGTTCGGGTTTGAAGAAATATATATTAGCTAAACGTACAATAATTATATACAAACGACTTTAATTTAAATATTTTATGAGTTTTATTCCTATGAAGACGTTTAATCAGTTGTCCTATAGAATAAACAATAATAAAAAGTGTTAAAGATATAAGAACACAGATTTGGATAAGAAGTAACAAAATCGTATTTTGGCGTATTTTTCATTTCTTTAGTTGCACCAGTATGCAAGCCAGGCCAGAGAACTGTGTATGGTACAGCAGTGCACGAAACGGTGAGAGTACTCTGCGAGGTCGATGCGGATCCAGAAGAAGTAACGTTTCGCTGGATGTTTAACAATTCTCGTGGAAAGAGAGAGGTGTTGTCCTTTAAGGACGACTTTACTAGAAGCGTAGCAAGCTTCATCCCCCAGAGTCAGGAAGACTACGGTACGCTGGTTTGTTGGGGGAGTAACAGAGTGGGGGTACAGAAGGAACCCTGCTTTTATAACGTCATTGCTGTAGGTGAGGTTGTTTCTGAAAATCGATTTTCTACTGATAGAGATTAGAATAGTTCCTCATATGTTGCTAAGGTATTTCATCCGACTGCAACAATTGTATCTTAGAGATTGAATTATTATAATTGTAGACAACCGGTATGTGTTAAAGGTTAGATTTCTTGTATTAAAACGTTTTTAGAATATAAAACAATACGATTGTCGATATTAGGCTATTTTGATGGCCAGCGCCTTACATAGGGATAATTAATTTGTACTGGAATATCATAATTTGTGTATTGATAATAAGAGTAATTTTAGGTATACGTGTAGACACGAATAACGAAAATATTAACATTCACAGATTGTAAGGTACTTTATCCTTATGAATTCTAGCATCATGTTTATAATGATGTCGAAATTTGAATGTGTCTACTGACGAATTCGATTTCAGTTGTTATTTTAATGTGAATAAATGCTGAAGATACTAGTTCTAAAATATTTCTGTTGAATGGCTTACTCTAGCTTCAACAGAAGTATTTTAGTAGAAATGGCTTACTCTAGCTATTTTAGTAGAAACTTCTGTTGAAGCTAGAGTAAGCCATTTCTACTAAAATACTTCTGTTGAAGCTAGAGTAAGCCATTTCTACTAAAATACTTCTGTTGAAGCTAGAGTAAGCTA